GAAACTCCTGTTCTATCCAACAATCAGATATTAACAAACTGGAAACTCCTGTTCTACTCCAACAATCAGATATTATCAAACTTGAAACACCTTGTTCTATCCAACAATCAGATATTATCAAACTTGAAACACCTTGTTCTATCTAACAATAAGATATTATCAAACTTACTGGTTCTTGTATCAAAACGTGAACAATTTTTTGTGAAAAGCTCAGCAGTACTGTTCCACTAATGAATGTATACAACATGCTGTATTTAGAATGATTGCTAGTTTGACAAAGCAAACGTACAGAAACAGACTGTATCTGATAGTCATATAAAACAAAGTATGTAGAAATTTACTATATCTGATAGTCAGATAATACACGTTGTGTAGAAATTGACTGTACTGATATTTGGATACAAGAAGGTGTGTTTAGATATTAATTATACTTGAAAGTTGAATATAATAAGGTGCTTCAAGTTTGATAATATTGTTAGATAGAACAAGGTGTTTCGTCTGAAACAGTGACAGAACTGGTTGTTTTTATTATTTTCTGATGTGGAGCCACTTTTGATGAGCATTTTTACGCATGAGTAGAATATTTGAAACTTACAAAGACACAGACATGAACAAGAACAACAAGAAAATATTTTGAATTAAATGATTTTGAGTCTACATTTTTTTTTTTTACAAATCTTAACGTGTATTGCGCATCATATATTTAATTTTTTATTATGTTTTAATTTTGACATGCGCGTGCGCAGGAGTGGAAATTAAATTATATGTATAGAAATGTAAAATTGAAATTACTTATAGATAGATACATTCAGTACAAGAAAAAGTTTATCGCGCATGCTCGAAAACATTGCTAAAGTATGTAATAGAAGCAGATGCTGATAACTGAAACGTCATATAATGATGCCCCCAAGTGGAACAGTGGTATGTCTGCGGACTTACAACGCTAGAGTCCGGGTTTCGATACCCGTGGTGGGCAGAGCACAGATAGCCCGTTGTGTAGCTTTGTGCTTAATTACAAACAAATATATTATAATAAACGCCTCGGTTCGTCCTAGTATATATTCTTAGATACTTAATAACTCCAATATATTTATGTATGTGTTATTACAATAATGACAAGTGCATTTTACAACACAGTGCTGTCCATTGAAGAACCGCTAGGACTCATTTACTGTACATCCTTTTTTTACATCCACACTCTGCATTTTCTGATGTTTCCAATAAATGCATCCGAAAAGTTTGAAAGGCTCCAGCAGCGGTGTCGCTAGGCGTTAGCACACAAGGCCCGTGCCCCGACTCTACTTGACAGTGCCCCGAATTCCCATTGGTGTTGCGAAAAATCAGAAAAGAAAACCACGATCGATATCAAACTGAAACGCCGAAAATTCCCGCGCCTATGGGCCCCGAGCCCGAATTCTTTTTTTTTTTTTTTTTAAAGCACTCTGGGTCCCAGTATCTAATATCCTTTAATTATTTTTGGATTCGGAAGGTTAGGCTGAAATACGAGGCTTTAAAACCATTTTGCATCCTCTATCCTCCTTGATAAACTATTCTCAGCCTCCATCTTGTTTTATATATAATTATCAAATATTGTCCATCCCTATTTCGGTGAAAAGTAAGATTTCAAGCCGATTTGAAAAATATTGATAATTTAAAGCCACAACTTTCTATGCTATTTTTCATGAGAAATAGTCTACAGTTATATAAAATAACAAAACTTTATTCATTGGTTCAGGGCCGCCTCGTTCTAGCCAATAGCGTGAGCATAAAGCAGGTTCTGAATTCCAGCTCAAGACGTCGTCTTTGCTGACCTTCCTGGCCACGCCGAACACCTACCAAGACGACGACAAAACTTTAGTTAGACGTTAGACGGTGTTTACCAAGGGACCTGCACACGAGGATATACAGAAGCTGTGCGTGTGTGTTTACGCGCAGAAGCTTGTCGTTTATTTGTAAATCAGGTATGTGTTTGTTGTTTTTATTTTCTTTCTCCTGATGTTGAGAAGTTTTTTATGAAAATAACAAAAATACACTATGAGGCGTAAGATATAACATCAGGTTTCTCACTGCCCGTTCATAAAAAAATTAACTTATTTTTTATAATTGTTTGTTGTTAAGAGCAAAACTACAAAATGGACTATCTGTGTTCGGGGCCACTGCGAGTATCGAAACCCGATTTTTAGCGGTATAAGCCTTAAGACCTACCGCTGAATAATTGGGAGGCTACTTTTTTTTACTTAATTTCATTGTTAATAACGTGCTACATTATTCATATCACTTATTTTTCTATCGCGTTAAGTTCTTCTTTTTTTATAAAAAAAAGCCACCCGGTGGCACAGCGGCATGTCCGCGGACTTACAACGCTAGAATCCGGGTTTCGATACCCGTGGTGGGCAGAGAACAGATAGCCAATTGTGTAGCTTTGTGCTAAATTACAATCAAACAATCTTTAAAAAAC